GTATATACTCATCCATTCAGAGCGGCTTCTGCCCAGCAAATACTGTCATTTTTTTAAATGTTAAGTAGATGAGGTGTGTGTGGAGTAGCCGGGGCACTGCTGACAGTGGTTGCCGCCTTCTCGGGGTGTCTCTCTGCTGCTTTTTCTGTATATTCAGGAATTTGGGGTAGGGGGAAGAGAGAAGCCTTTGCCTGCCTGCAGTGATGGCTGTTGCTATAGATGATAGTCCAGGGCTCGGGATGCCTTATCCTGTGAGTGTTGCTGTTGCGGGAAGCATATGGCCAGGGAGCTGCTTGCTCTACCTGAAGAATTTCTATGAATATTGATAAAACGTCTCACATGGCTGGAGGTGGGCTGTATGGATCCTTCCTGCACCCTCAGGAGCCACCCTCCCCGCTTCTGCGAGCTGATGTGTGAAATTTAGGTCCGTGGGGAGCTGGAAGTGTAGCAGAAGTTATCCAGGTGTCCTTATTTCGCCTTTATAGTCATCAAAATGTGTGTGATCAACTTCTGCACGTGTCAGGTTTCGTTTTTAAAATCAGATTGTAGTTGTGAGAAAGCATGCCGTGCTGGGTGAACCAGCAAGTACCATCCTGGAGAGTGTAAAGCTGGAAGTGCCGGCTCCACCGCTGTGGCTTGGGGTCTGCAGGAGAAGAGAAGCCCACCGGCAGCAGCCAGAGCAGCTGCAGCTCAAAGCTTAAAAGATCCCTGTTTTTCCAAGAACTTATTTGTAAAGTTGTAGTTTCAAGAGCTGAAAAGAGATGGAGAGAGGATAAGTAGTGTATTTTTATTCCCAAGTTATAATGGATTTTTCCTTTATATCAATTTGGACAGAGATCAAAGTTACAATAGAGCCCTGCTGCGCTAATTTTTGGTTACCATTGCATTTTGTATTGCCTCAGAGTGGAAAATACATGTGTGGCCATTTATTAATACCTCTGCTATTGCTGCCTGTTGTTTACCTGGATGATTTTATATTTTTTTTTGTCCAGCTACCCTGAACGTAGGGCTGCAGTCAGTGTTTGTGGAAAATTGCACGTGTGGTTTGGAAACGAGAGCTCTCACCAGCCTTCAGAATTAATGCTGAGGTGAAGTGGTCAGCGGCGGGGTGGCAGTTACTGCTTTTCCGAGCCGTTGTTTAGGGCTCCTCTGCTTTCTATTTGGAGATTTCCTTTCGTAACCCTGAGCACTAGGAGCACACGCTTTCTGCATGAGGGTTTCTGTCGAGTTCTGCTTTGGGTGACAAGACAAATGGGTTGTGCTGAGTGTGTTCAGCCCGTGAGGTGTGAGTACGTGCGAGCCAGTTGCTGGCTGGAAATTAAACCCTCCTCAAGGTGTAAGGCCCTGGCTGGATTTTTAGAAACTGTTCTATAACCTCATGCTTATCAGGTGTTGATTGTGCAGAAATCTTTTGATTGGAGTCTGTTCTCTTATCTGCTTGTGGCTTAAGAGCTGGGAAACCCAAGAAGGTGTCTGATGTGGTAGGGCTTGGTCAAATTTGGAGTGAGCATGAATGGAGCAGGACGCAGGATTTCAGGAAGGGAAGCGTATCGGGGATTTTGTGAAAGTGATGGGTTGTCTTTGAGAGAGATTTGGCTACAAAAGCTCTCATCAGACTCGGTGTTCTCACCTAGGGGAAGGAGAACTTAGTGCTGCTTTGTGTGGCTTTTCTTCACGCTGTTTTTCTGTTGAAGGTTTGATGACCAAGTGTCTGAGAAGTTTGGGGTGGCTGCTCATCTTAACAGATCTCTTGGGTGAAGCTTGTTTTGTTGTGACTTTCTTATCTATGCAGCACCTATGTAAAAAAACTTGAAGAAAACATTCTTAACACACCCCCTCCGAGTATATTTTGGTCTGTATACGTTTTTCCCCAAAAAATTGCGGAGGAGAATGTTTTTATGGAGACTGTACTTTGCTCTTTCTCAGTTGTTCTGTTTTCTCCATCTCCCCCAGGGAAGCTCTCGTGGTGCTTGGGATGAGCCCTATGAAAAGGGCTGTTCCTATTTAGGTTTGTTCCTGTGTAACAGGATTGCCACTCGGGTTCTTGTTTTTGGCTGGGCTGCTTCTGGGAATTTGAGAGATTTTGTGTGTATCAAAGTTCTTCATTTTGTTGTTTTTAGGGTTTTTTTTTGTGTGGTTGGAGTCCAAAACTGAACAAAGACAACCCCACTCCCCTGTGAGGCAGGGAGCATCCGTTCCACACTGGCAGCGATGTGGGTCCTCTCTGGACACAGAAATATCACCTGGGACAGCTGTGGTGGGAAGGGACAGAGTCGAGGGCACCTGTTTACAGAGGGATGGGGAGATGCTGCTGTGTGGGTGTGTGAAGATGTGGGGTGGGTTGTGGCAGCTGGAGGAGTCGCCTGGTCTTGCTCGTTCACACCGGTGCTTGTTACACGCGCTGGTGGGAGCTGCGAGTGTGTCTGTCCTGGTCTGACCCGGGATAAGCGACTTGTTGGAGTGTGGGACCTCTGAGGTAGAACTTGGAGCAGATGCTGCAGCCACGGATGACGTGAAGATGCTGTGAGAGAGGGGACTAAGGGTGGCAGCGTGTGAGCTGTCCCAGGGTATGGACCTCGCCCTGGGAAGCAGTGTTGGGGGCCTACAGCACCCAAAGGGCCCCTGGCAACAGCCTTTGCCTGGAGTCTGGGGAGTCAGATCCTGGGGAGACAAGTGCAGTGGAGTACTTGTACCCCTGTGCTGGGCACTGGTGAGGCCACAGCTCGAGTGCTGGGTTCACTGTTGGGCCCCTGACTCCAAGAAGGACATGGAGGGGCTGGAGCGTGTCCAGAGAAGGGAAC